AGATAACGGGGAGAGTCCATGAGAAGAACGCCAACAAAGATAAACCTCTTTCAAAGGAAACACTAAACTTTGACTCCAGCCATTCTGACTACGCAGTTACAAACTTATATACATAGCTCCCAGCTGCAAGCCACGAGGAGGATCATGGTAATCTCCTCCTGAGTAGACCTCGCTTTTCCCTGATCCTCTCCTCTCTGCATGCCCTAGGATGGATAGGGATGGGCCTGGATCCTCTTCTGATTGCTCAGCCGGACTCTGCCCTTCCCCAGCCTCCTCCACCACCTCTGGAGCCACACTCCCACTCCCTGTTGGCTGTTCCTCCTCTTCCTCAGAGTCAGACTCCACCAGGGGCATGACAGAAGGTTTCTGGATGAGAGCAAGGATCTACCAAATACCCAGCAGCCTATTTTCTACAGTAGCAAGTTATTGTAGTAAGGCAATACCTCTTTATTGTTTTTCAGCTATACTGCCTTGGAATATGGGAGTTCCATTCAGACCTCAATATTAGCAAGACTACAAGCAGAGGGAGATTTGAATTTTTCTGAATTACTCTCTTCTCTTTATAATAGTATTACAACCAGAGGACAACTGCAGACAGGGGTGTTCATGGGGAATGTAAAAAAAAATCAAGAAGGCAGCCTCAATTGTGTAAGTGAAGCCACCATTTTGATTTTTTGACACCCTCCTGTGAACACCCCAATGGCTTGTGACTGCAATAGGAATAAAAGAGGGATAAAACTTGTTCTGCCCTGTGTTAGATAAACATGCTCTTCCCAAAATCTGCTATTAGGCTCTGGAGAGAGAGCCTTTCACTGGTAGGAATGGCTCCCCCGTTCCCACCTCAGAGCATTTTTTGGGGTGGGGGGAGAGGACACTTTCACTGCAACTGACAGGAGAAAAAACAGTTGAGAACTTCTCCATCTCACAACAAAGGTCCTAATCTTGAAGAAGGGATTTCACAGAGCCCTCTAGAGTTTGGAATGGCTCATTCATTCAAACAAACTAACAAATAAATAGCAATGGCTGTTTACAATTTTGCACTGCTAACATGAGAAGGGAGTTATGTCTGTTTTTACCTTCAGACATGGGCAACCAATTACATTGTTCACACACAGACAGAGGCAGACAGAGACACACAGAGGACAGAGACAGACACACACAGACACCCTATTATCACCCTATTATACAATGCAGGATCCCTGCAAGTGACAGACTAACTATCTATTGGCAGAGTTGAAAAGCAAAAAGAAAAAGGAATTATTTACCAAAGTAAGAAGAGAATATGATTATTTACAATACTATCAAGGTTTTCTTTACAAGTAAAACATATAAACTGTAATTGGTACAAATAGAAAAAAAGGGCTGTTTGGTTAAAAAAAAAAAAAGCTATACATTTTAACAGAAAAAAAAAACCTGCTTGTGATTTGCTCTTTTTCTGTTTATTTGTTTCAAACATTTTCCTCCTTCCTCCCCCTTCTTTCTAGTGTACCTTTTTGTTTAATTTATTTACCTTTTTAAAATCAGGAAAAAAAATTAAGTACAAAAATAAAATGTTAGCAAAGTTAATTTAAAGCCAAGAAACTACATTTTAGTGTCTCTCACCACCAATTATCATTACTGAAAATGGAATGCTTTGGAAATGTAATGAATCATTAGAATAGAAACTATGATATTTTTCAAAGGAACTACCTCAGAGAGTATTCTACAGAAAAGGTTATTATGAACCATAAATTTGAATTAATGTATCACAAAGAATGATTTGTGCCTTGTGCATCAGGAACACATTGTGTTCTTTGGATCACAGTGTACAATGTGAACCTTGAAAAACCAAATAGTAAAGTTCTGTAACTGTTCTTCAAGTGTAACCAATGAAACAATTAGGCAAAAAATAAATTTGTTAGAAAATGAATATTTTTTTTCCAGGTCATGGTTGCCGCTTCTTAATTGCGTGCATTTCAAAACATGCAGATAATAATGGTTCTTCTCGTTATTTGCTTTCATATTTGGGCCAGAGTTGTAGCAGTAACTTTATTATGTCTATTATATAAAATATGAAAGACATTTCATATAAATGTCTCTATGACTCAAAGATTTAAGGGATTATGTGATTGGGAGGAAGGTTTAAAATTAAACCCAAGATAGTTGTGGTATTCCAATTTGATTTGGGAGCTTTAGAAGTTATTTGGAAGGATGAGCAAGTGGCTGAACAGTATATAAATTATTCCTGTGTCTAGGTTCACTCTGAAATGTGAAAATAAACAGATGAGACAAACCAATAATGAGATTCAGACTAGTATGACATCATGTATTCAGATACTGCAGAATGTTTAAACTGTTCTTTAACTTTGAGAAATGTTGAGGTAGAATTTTCTACTCACATCTATGAATAATCTTACCCATTCATTAAGTGGTCAATAAAAAAGGTTTTCTTCCACTCTAATAAAGAATATTTTTACTGTTGTGCCTCCATTCTTCTCAGTTTTGCCAACTATACTATGAAATATTTCTAAATTAGTATATAACTTTTGCCCTAAGTCTTTCATTTGGATCTTGTTCCAAATGAAAGGCTTAGGGCAAAAGCTTTCTACTAATTTAGAATGTGTCTAAATATTGAAATAGCATTGATATTCCAATTAAAGGTAGAATGAGAGGCTGTCTCCAGTAATTATTTATACAGTATTATTGTAATAATCAATGGTCACCCAAGTTTTAGGCTATGAATAGCTGAAGACGGAATGAAAACAGAGGTAGAACAAAGATATGGAAATATTTCAGTAATATAATTGACAAAACTGAATAGAGGTGGAACAGTGAAAATACTCTTTAATAGTAGGGTAGAAGAATGCATGTTACTCCAAGCTGGTAATCAATTTGCCTGCCTCAACCCACTGACTGATTTATGTGGCTCAGTTTAATGTATAATCTTTATGATTTGTAAATTATGTGTGAACCTGAGCACTGTGGCTTATTCAACTTTCAGGGCCGAAGAGAAGCATGGTAAATCATATGATCTCTGCCAAAATCTGCAACTCCTGATCAAAACAAAAGGGAATTTGCTGATCTGTACAGATGTGAGGCAAATTAAATATAGGGGACAGGAGCAGAGGACACCTACTGTAACATCTATTTTGCTCTTCTATTTGGCCTTCACTCTGAATTTTTCTCACCTCTGCTTCATTCTTGATTTCTTCATATTCCTCCTTCATCTTTTCTCGGGCATCTTCATCAACACTTGTATCTCCAATTCGGTTATAGAGAGATATGGCTTCCTCTAGTAGCCGATCCAGCAAAGATGACCGATTCTGAACATCTTTCAGTAGGACCTGAGCATGGCTAAGCTGCCACTGCTTCTCCTTTAAGCCAAGCTGCAACTCTATGTCAGGTTCCAAGGTCACCTTCATGTTGTGAAGCCAGGTGTAAAATTCATCCTGGGCCTTCAAGTATTCACTCCAATGCAACCACACCCACTCAATGCGGCTGTTGGAAGAAAAAAGACAGTTAGGTACATTAATTCTTCCTTCTCCAACGTTAAAGAGAATCATCTCTAGATAGTATGACCAGTACTACATCATTATATCGTCTTCGGATAGTATGACCAGTAGCAGGTGATAGTTTGTATCCAGAGGGCACTAAACTAGTCTACAAAATATAAATGGTACTTGCCAATAAATTCCAAAATCAAAATATGGCATTCATTTAAGGCAATGGCGCCCAACCTTTGGGGCACCAGGGACTGGTTCCATGGAGAAAGGTTTCTCCACAGACTGGAGGGGACATGGTTTTGCATGCTGCCTGCATCCTATGGGTGGGGCTTCACTTGTTTGCATGGACCAGTTGCTGCCATGCCACGGACCAGTGCCAGTCAAGGCAAGTCCACAGCCCTCAACCTGTTCCATGTAAATGCTGCCATGATGGTTGCTTTCCAGTTCCAGCATATATACTTTTCTTTCATATTATTGTTCTTTCAACTTTTTAAAGAGGTTCTGAATGAACTTAGTTTTAATCGTACATTATCCATGATATAATGCTGTGCAAAGAACCCTTGAAGAATTCTTGGGCATCTTCTTCCTTTGCTGCAGTTTACTTCTTTCCTTTCTGATGGCCTTAATTTTGGAATTGGGAAAATATAACTTGTTATTCCTGTGCCTATCAAAGTTAAAGACATTCATAGCAAACTAAGAGATTACATGTTTTGCATGGAGAAGAACCTTGGACCATTCCTTGGTATCTCAGTAGTACTGGGAAATTTACTGCCTGAAATTCTTACAGAAATGTGGCTAATAATAAAACATATAACATATTACAAAATAAATAAGAATATAGTCTATGAAATCACAAACATTTATTCAAATTAATTTCATAAAGTACCAGACTCCTCCTCCTCTTTTACCACTTCAGGTGTCAAGGGAGTTATAACGTTCTGGTTCTTGCTCTTCTGGTGGCCTCAACCATTGTTAATTGATGTTGCTGTATATGGAATTTCAAGACTTCCTCCTCAGGTCAGCATATCACTTTATTTGCTGTGTTTATATGTAATTATTACATCCCTAATTACAAAGTTCCTGCTTCAATAGCCTTTTTTTGTTTACAATGTTATAAATACTGGTAGTGTCAAGATTGGGCTAATGCACCAGTGGTTCTTTGTATTCTTATCATATTGATTCTACTGCAATTATTACAATTCATTTATTTTGCTTTCTTCCATCATATGGAATTGGTATACAAAAAGGGGCAGGCATCCCCATTTGTTAAATGAAGACTAGGAGGCCGCCATGGCGTCAAATGCTCTCTTTATGTCATATTTATCTCTTTTTCAAGGGAATCTAGGCCCATGATTTGGGTGTCTGAAAGCAGGCATTTGAACCATTTAAAATGATCTAAACTGATTTATTATGCTGTGTTATTATCTCTGGATAAATCTCTAAGGATAATATTTCATTTGCCATGACTAATTGCTACCCATCCAGCTTCGCCTAGTTATAGCAGATACGTTTTTCATGGGCAAACTAGAAAACCAACCAGAATCTTCAAAAAGTGGTAACAAAGAAGGACAAAATTGTCATTTTCTGTCTGGCTTAAGAGTTTTCTGCTCAGAAAACTCTTAAAAGCCATTGGTGGGAGACCTAATTGGGGGCATTTGGGAATCTTACCTGTGACAATGAGTAATGTATATGGCTGTTTCTTCCCACATGGCTTTAACATCCTTTAGCCTGGATAATATTTCATGCTTTTGCTCCTCACTGATACACTGAAGCAGAGCATCAGCCTTCATTAGGACCAGGTCTATTTTCAACCGGCCTTCAGGTTCCAATGCACAAATTTTCTATTAGGAAGAATTGTACACAGAAATTAAAACATGAAATTAAAACTCTTTAATGAGGGGTGGGTTTCTTTTTGCAGAAACATACTTAAAAAGAAAAAAAAACTAGATCCGTACTCTTTTAATATTGGAAAATTATGGACTATAGAGTAATGGTTGCTTCATTCAGAGTAAACAGAAGGAAATACACTAAGTGAGTAAATGGGAAGGAAAAAAATGGATAAGGAAGGCTTTCTCATAACAGGGTTAATTCAATCTTCCCATCCTATGCCTTAAAATAATTCATGCACAGGGATATTTTAACTGACATAATTTAATATAAATTGTGTGTGTCTGTATTATAAATACATAAATAAATAAAGCTGGGTTAGGATTATGTTATTAGATGGGGGGGGGAGGAAAGGGGAGAAAGAGAATGGAAAGTTTAAGATTGGGGAAAACAACTCCCCCCCCCAAAAAAGTGAAAAATAAGTATAAAATCAGAAAGCAACAGAAGAGGGAAATGCAGAAGAGAGAATTAGAACTAGAGAGACAAGGGGGTAAAAAGGGGAGGGAGAAGATGAGAGGGAAGAAAGAAAGGAAAAGAAGTTATAAAGGACAAGCAAAATATAGAGAAACAGGGTCTATTTAGAGATAATGGGTGAAAACTTAATGGAAAAAGGGATTCTGCAAAGGTACATAAGATAGTATGGTTATATTAGAAGCAGAAATAATTTTAGAAAATATGAAACAATGTATGATTAAAATGTCTGATAAAATAGCTATCGTAATTCAGCGGAATGCTTGTCAATAAATAAATGTAACAAAAGGTATATTTAATGATTTATAAAACATATGTGAAGAGAAATAAGGGAAAAATTAATTATGGAGATTATATGTGTTTTTAAGGAAGCATGATATTTAATTGAAAAGAAGTGTTAAAGATGTTAAGATTTTAATGATTATTAATGATAGAACTGAACTGGAATGGAATGAGGGTTTATAATTACATATATTTACAATCTTTCTTTCTTTTTTTTAAAGAATATAGTGTGTATTATAAGAATGTGCCAAGCAGAATTCGATTGGAAGTTATGTATTATGTATTATATTGAAGGTCATAAACTTAAGGTATATATTGAAGTTTAAATAAGAGTTGAATGGATGTAATTAAAAGATATAAAGGTGTCATACTCCAATTAGTAACTACAGGAGAAAATTTGTTTAATGAGAAAAGATAATATGAAATTGAAACAGAACAGACAAAAGTATAAATATAATGATTTGAATTGAGATGAGATAATCAAAATAAAATTGAGAAAATTAAAAGAGGGGAAAAACTATATAGAAAATGTAAAATAGTATAAGATATGGAATAGAATACAAAAAGGAGCATGAAATTGAGTTTTGTGTCTGTATAAAGAAGTTCAACCCGGGACCATGCTATTTTCAAAAAAAGATGTTTTACTTGTATTTTGTGTGTGAAAACCCAAATAAAACTTTATTTAAAAAAAAGTTCTATATTTTGATCTTATGGTAATAGGGTTTCATGGTAATAGGGTAAAATCGCCAAATTCTAGTAAACTGGATCTCATGGCTGCAGTAAATCTTAACAATTTAAAAAAAGAACAAATGAAAAATCATTTCAAATTTGATTTTGTATTTCATGTTACACAATTATTCTTTAATATGGATGTAAAGTGCTTTGCAAAACATTTCCAGTAATAATCAGTGTGGATATTACCATACTTTGGATTTTGCTACAGCAGAAAGATGTTGCAGGAGCTTTACATTTCTGAAAACTACAAATAAAAATACTTTAAAAACTACTGAAAACAGCATGCAAAAAACAGACAGCACAATTCTTTAAAAATAAAAGTAAGTCTGTGGAAATCTACATTTAGAAATCATTTTCTACAAAATTATTTTTCATTCGATAGGGAAAAAAAACTGGTCTTTTTTGACTGATGCCCTGTTAATACAAATAGTGCAAGGAGCAGGATTTCGGTAAGTCATAGGTCCCTGCCCATGGGAAGATGATGGGCATGTTTCAAGGAAATTAAACAAGTCAAATTTTTGGTTACAACTGCACAAATGAAGTCATCTTGATTTTTTTTTAAAAGTTCCTTCACAGAGGTTCCTGGCAGCATAAAAATAAAGAACCCCAACATTTTAGCAAAACAACACCTTCACAGTAATAACTTCAGCAATCAAATACCTGTAATGCTTTGATTCTATTTTCTGCTGGCAGCTTTGATTCTTGATTGAGGCAGCAGTTTAATCTTTCTGTTAGCTGAGTCAGCCATAGCCGAAACTGGTCAACGTTGGTCTTATATAGCTTGTGCTCTGTTGTTATCTTTTCTAGTAATATCACTCTTCTCTGAAATAAGAGAAATATCCCAAAGGGAAAGACAGTTTTTGAAAAATAAACTCACAGAACAAAGAAGCCTTCTTCTCATATGTCACTTGGTTGTTTTTAGGAATTTAAAACAATTAACATATCCCAGGTCCAAGTGAACTGTAATTATTTAGCACTTAAGTAAATACAATATTTTAAAAAGACTTTCATTTCTTTTTTAAGAAAGGAAAGTGCCGAAAGATTTAGCGAGCCAGCTTCTCATTAATGACAGCATTTCAAATATTGTATTGAAAATAAACATAAAAATAATAATTATTAATAAATATACCTAGAAAACATTAAGAACAAATATACAGTTCAATATGTATGTGGGTTTTTCAATGTAATTTTCCACTAGAGGGCCTATATGAGTTATTCACATTTTTTAATTCCTCCCCCTACCACTATCTTTTTGTGGGAAAATATAAAGGAAACTATAAAGGCAGTTCCCTCAGGACAAAGGTGCAAATATGCAAACCAGTATGAATGTAGTTCCATGGTTAGTGAACACTCATCAACTGGATAATTTTCTGCTAAAGGCAAGAGAGAAGGTGTGATGACCCGTAGTCTCTCAAAATAACCCAAAACCCAAAACATACATTAAAGTCCGGTAATGCCTTCAACTTAACTTCACTGTTTTATTAGGGACAGTTTGAAGTCACAAAAGTAAATAATGAGGCAAAAGGAAACCAAAACAAACTGCATTGACGAGAGTTCCGAAGCAAGCCAAGATAATTAATCATACATTCCAGGGAGATAACGGGGAGAGTCCATGAGAAGAACGCCAACAAAGATAAACCTCTTTCAAAGGAAACA